TGTTTATTCTTACTTTTTCATGTTCCCTTAGATCACTAACTTGAGGAAATTTGGAGTCTAATTGGAATATTGAAAGATGTAGAAATTTGATTCTATGAAGGAAAGGTCCAAAAAACAGTAGTTGTTCACCTGGTTCTCACATCAAACACCAAAATCTATTCCAGTAGATGAAAGATTAAAGGGCTAAAAATTAAACTGTCAATGTACTAAAAGAAAACGTGGATACTTTGTTAAATATATTAGAAAAGGGAAGATATAAAACTCAAAAGCTAAAAAGGAAAAGAAGCAATAATTGTGAGTATATAAAACAGTTTAAACTTTTTAAAGTATATTTTATTGATTCCCCCCTTAGTTCACGTCCATGGGTCATACATATAAGTTCTTTGGCTTCTCCATTTCCTATGCTATTCTTAACCTCACCCTATCTATTTTTGTACCAACAATTTATGCTTCTTATTCCCTGTACCTTTTCCCCCATTCTCCTCCCCACCCCCTCCTCACTGATAACCCTGCATATGATCTTTATTTCTGTGATTCTGTTCCTGCTCCAGTTGTCTGCTTAGTTTGTTTTTGTTTCGTTTTTTTTTAGATTCAGTTGTTGGTAGTTGTGAGTGTGTTGTCCTTTTACTATTCATATTTTTTATCATCTTCTTTTTCTTAGTTAAGTCCTTTTAACATTTCATATAATAAGGGCTTGGTGATGATGAACTCCTTTAACTTGACCTTATCTGGGAAGCACTTTTTTTGTCCTCCCATTCTAAATGAAAGCTTTGCTGGATAGAGCAATCTTGGATGTTGGTCCTTGCCTTTCATGACTTCAAATACTTCTTTCCGGCCCCTTCTTGCCTACAAGGTTTCTTTTGAGAAATCAGCTGAGAGACTTATGCAAACTCCTTTGTAGGTAACTGTCTCCTTTTCTCTTGTTGCTTTTAAGATTCTCTCTTTATTTTTAATCTTGGGTGATGTCATTATGATGTGCCTTGGTGTGTGCTTCCTTGGGTCCCACTTCTTTGGGACTCTCTGGGCTTCCTGGACTTCCTGGGAGTCTATCTCCTTAGCCAGACTGGGGAAGCTCTCCTTCATTATTTTCTCAAATAAGTTTTCAATTTCTTGCTCTGCTTCTCCTTCTGGCACCCCTGTGATTCAGATGTTGGAACATTTAAAGTTGTCCTGGAGGTTCCTAAGCCTCTCCTCATTTTTTTTTGAATTCTTGTTTCTTCATCCTGTTCTGGTTAAATGTTTATTTCTTATTTCTGGTCCAAATTGTTGATATGAGTCCTGATTACCTTTCACCCATCATTGGTTCCCTGTATGTCTTTCTTTATTTCACTTTTCATAGCCTTCACTTTTTCCTCTATTTTGTGATGACACTCAACCATTTCTGTGAGCATCCTAATTACCAGTGATTTGAACTGTGCATCTGGTAGGTTGTCTATCTCTTCATTGCTTAGTTCTTTTTCTGAAGTTTTAATCTGTTCTTTTGCTTGAGCCATATTTTTTTTTCTCAGTGCACCTGTTGCATTGTAAGGGACGGAGCCTTAGGCATTTGCCAGGGCAGGGCAACCCGCATTGCTGAATTATGGCTCTGTATTTGGGGGACGGGCCCAAGAGGGAACAATGCCACTTGCTCAGCTCTCAGAGGGCTTCCAGTCACGTCCTTCACTAACCACAAGCAAATTAGGCCCTTGTGGTGCTGATTTTCAGGTGGGTGGGCTTGTGTACATTCTAGGATCCTGTGGGTATCTCCAGTGAACTCTCCTGTAAGGCTTGGAGTTTTCCCACTGCTGCTGCAACTCCCATAGGTTTTTACAGCAAGAGGTTTGAGGCTTTCTTTTCCTATGCTGGAACTCTGGGTTGTGTTATCTGTCTTGCTCCCCATTTATTCCTCCCAGTTTACCAGCATACATATGTGGGAGTGCCTGGTCCTCCAGCTGCTGCCTTGCCATGAGTCCTCTCTGCCCAGGCTACCCATCTCTGACCCTCCTGTCAGTCTGAATGAATGTTTCTTTTTTAACTCCCCAGTTGGACTTTCACACAGTTTGATTTTCTGGCAATTATGGTTATTTTTTGTTTTTGTATTTGTTGTTGTCCTTCTTTTGGTTGTGCAAGGAGGCAAAGTGTATCTACCTAAATCTCCATCTTGGCCAGAAATACAAAGTTCATTTTAAATTTCTTACATGGCGAGAAATAACATATAAGGGAAAAGTTAAAATAGTTAAAATATAATAACACAAAATATAAATACCAAACTAGTAAGAATATTTGTAATAGTTATATAAGATGGAGCACTAATCTTTTTAACATGCAGATAAATTTTTTAAAAAGCAAACAAAATAAAAAATAAACAAATTAAGTGAACAGACATTTTATACAAAAAGAAATTTAAATAATCAACAAACATAAAAATATGGTCTACCTCATAATTGGAGAAATGCAAAAATATTAAATACAGTTGTCTACCTATAAAATGGCAAAGGTCAAATATTGATATGTGTGCAATTTTACAAGAGTGTGAAAAGTAGCCAATTTTATATTATTTGTGAGATTATAAATGAATGCTACATTTTTGGAGGCAAGTTGACAACAGCTATCAAAATTTAACTCTCATACCTTTTATTCCAAAACTTATTGTTCAATGATATTTATTACAGGGTTGTTTATAATAGCAAAGTGCTGAAGCAATGTAATGGTCCATCAGTTGTGTACTGGTAAAGTAAGTTGTTTTACCTTGAATAACAGAACACTCTACAGTTATTTTTAAAAGTTGACATATATCATAATGTGTGAATGAAGAAAGCTCTCTAAGATATACATGGGTGGGCAAACATAGGTTAATAATAGTGATAATAAGTAATAAAATAAATAATGCAAGAGTAAACTGTGTTGCATACTCAAAACTGTACACCTCCTTTTGTCTACCCCTGTATTTTCAGGGAATTTACCCTTCACAAACACATTTTTAAGTGTTTGTGGTAGCAAAAAGGTGGATAAAACTGTAACCACATAAGTAGAGACAATATTGAAAAAAATTCTGGTACGGCCATACCATAAAATAGGCTCCCATCAAGCAGGTAGAATGCTATCAGCTGATATTGAAGATGCCCAACATATATGCTTAAGTATAAAACAAAACAAAAACAACTAATAGAATTATATATATAATGTGATCCTATGCATTTAAATAAAAAGGCAATAATATATGAACATATGTAGAGAAAGAAGCAAGTCACATGCCTGCGTGTACAAACAGTAGATTTCTATAAAGGATGCCCAAGAAACTGCTAACAGGGTCACCATGGGAATGCAGACAGGGAAGGGACCTTTCACTTTTCCTTACATACTTTTCTGAAACGTTAGAATTCGTTTACCAAAAGCGTATATTATTTTTAATAAAAAGCTAACAGTTTGACCAGAGAAGAGGTTATCTGGTCCATGACTTGCGCATTCAGCTTCCTGTAGGTAAAAGGCCAGATCAAATTACTTTTCCTGTCTCTTCCAGCTCTGAGTCATACTTCTGACTTCAATGACTGGACAACCTCTGAAATGACTTTCATCCTCCAAGAACTTAATCTGAAGTTGTGTAGGTTATGGGGACACTTAGAGTCAGAACTCTTTGAGACTAGCTCAGGCAGGAGGGAATTGAGGTTCAGACTGGTGACGTGACAGTGACTCAGCTAGTGAGAGGCACTGACAGGCCAAGCCTAGCTTGGTGAACTTCCCAGTGTACTGTGTAGTCCATGCGTTCAGAGTTCACCAGAATAAAAAGCCAGGGAAGAAGCCAAGAAAATTATAAAGTGAATAAGGAGACTCTAACAAATTGTGAGAGGACCAGGATGTGGAATTGAGAATTAAAGATATCCCAGGCCTAACAGAGAAACCGAGCAGTAACTCCTGACCCATTTGGTCTCATTGTCTAAGAGGATTTGTGAGAGGCCAAATAAGAACCTATATTTTATGTGTAGATAAACTGATCAGTTCCTTTATTCTTTTTCATGGGCTGTAGTCATCTTCTCTCTAAATAAAAAGAAGCAGAATTCTGATGTCATCTGCAAAAACAAGCCTCTGAGTAGTTTAGAAAACTGGACTTAAGCTACATGTTCAGTTGAAGCAGAAAAGCTTTCTATGGCTTGTCTTGTTCACCTTTTTTCCCCACCCACTACCCCTCTCCTGGGGCAGGCAGACAGCCCTGTCACTGAAAAGCACTCGGTAATTATATTGTGTTGACTTAGACTAAATTGATTTGAGAAAGACTTTAGCTTTTGCTTCTCATTAAATTTGACTTAAGAATGAATCTCCCCTCTCGGCAGAGTTTTGTGCTTGTTTTTAGATGCTCTGTTTCTCTTTCGGCACGGGCCCCCAAACGGGAGTTAGCAGCAGCAACATAAACTCCAGGTATTCTTTTTTTCATTTTGTCAGAATTCATGATGGAATTGCACATGAGAAATGGGCAGTCAAGTTTATTTTGGAAAAAGGCTCAGGGCTATCTAACCAAGCTCAGGGTGACAGGACCAGGCATATGACCAAGAGGGGGTTCTGGCAGGCAGCCAGCGCCATTCCACACAACGTCCCTGCAACCTCATTTGAATTTATGAATCTGTCAGCACATACTTGCCTATGTACATCATGTGTCTCTCTTTATTACCCTGTTTTTCCTCCAATTTTGAAGGCTCCTATCTACCCCAGAAATCTAGGAAACTAACAGAGGCATATTAACTGCATACCCTGAAATCCAAGTGGTTGTGGGTATACAAAGAAGTTTCAACCTGGTCAGACCTGTAGCACAAACATCACAAGATGAAATTTGATGAGTCTGCTAACTAAAATTTCTCAAGAGCATAAAAACTACTATGGTAACACACAAATGCCTGGGTAGGACATGAGGGGTTTTAAGGAAGGCGACATAATCTTAGACAGCCTCTCAGTTTTGGAAAATGTGTTTTCTTCTACCAGAATGACGTGGCTTACAAAACACCAGAATTCTCTGCCTTCCTATCTTTCAGGTGAACGGCATTGACCTGCGTGGAGCATCCCATGAACAGGCTGCAGCTGCACTAAAGGGAGCTGGGCAGACGGTGACAATTATAGCACAATACCAACCTGAAGGTCAGTGAGCACCTGAACATCTCATGTTCCAATATGTGAATGTGTGAACATGAACTTGCGTTTCCAATCACCTGTACTAAGTAATCAGTGCCGACAGGGTTTTTTAAAACTACCTGTTATAAAAAAAATCAATACTTTGTCTCCCAAGAACCTGAGGCTTCGTCACCCTTAATTCTCCAAAGAAAACATTAGACAGTTCGAAAAGTCTTTTTGAAATATGAATTCAAATAAATAACAACTAGCATCAGGTTTATTTCATTTATATGCTTATCTGGTGCACATGTTTTTGGTCAGCAATGGATACTGTAGAAACAATGAAGATGTAGGAAGGAAGTGGGAGAGATTTCGTGCACAGAAGTAGACCATGATCAGTAGACCACATTCTCTCCTTGTGGCATTAACTCTTATGAACACTGACAAAGTTTTTGGATGCCCTTGATGTAGGGGTTTTTTGGGTGTTTTTTTTTTTTTTTTTTTTGCCTTTTCTGCTATACTGTCACTTGTTTGGAATGCATCACTATAAACCCTGAGACTTGGTGATGTCATAAACCTAATTAGCCTACTGAGACTTAATGAGATGCCCTAAACTGGATTAGCCATGCCCTGTTCTTTGGTTTGTTTCAACATCTGTTTCTCTGATCAGAATGAGGTGCAATGAGACAGCCAGGATGTTATCTATGGTAGTTGATTTCTTAGGAAATTTGTATATAGAATGCTCCTTTGTTCATGAAACATAGGTCAAAGCACACCACATAGGAAAAGCACACCACTGTGAGCTAGACTTTGTACAAAAAACAGCAATATGGCTTCTGTCTTCAATAAATATAGTTAATGCTTTTCATCCACATGGCCGTCAAACAGGAGTACTAAACAGCTAAGCATGAAAATCCAAGATGCCATCAAGGACGAGCCTTTGTGCATGTGTGCGTACAGAGCTCCTTTGGTCTTCTCAAGTGATTCTTTCTTAATGTCAATTGGTCTGTTTTTGTTTGGAAGACTGAGGTTTGTATCTTGCCAGTGGCTTTTTAGAATTTACCATTACCACATGTTTTACATGAAAATAGAGAAAACATTCTTTCTGCCAAGTGAGTTTTGCTACATTACTTTCACTTTGCCTGGTCTTAGAATTAAAATCTGCAGTTGTTATGCCAAAAAATATTATTAAATGCTTTCTCTTACTGCACTAACCCAGATGTGGCTAGAGAGCCAGGGAACAAGGATAGATTGGCGTTTGTCACAAGACGGATGATGACAACACCGAGGGCACATGTTCTTCCCAACTTTAAGAAGCCTTTCTACCTCTTAAAAATTAGTAGACATGTCTTCTCTTAGGAATTAATGGCTCCAAAAGAATCCATTGTAAAACAAAAAATGAAGAGATCTGGGTTAGCCCAATCTGATGAACAAATTGTACTTCAATAGAGTAATAACTTTCTCATGGCATTCTTTCATTTCCTTGATAGCTCTTTTCTTTCAGCCTCACAACCTGGCACGTGGCATAACTATCCTGACACATGGCATAAATATCCTGGGCTGTTTTCCTATTTTGAAAAAAATTTCATCTCAAACAATTCTGCAAACTAATAAGATAGTCAGAACTTTAGTCCCACCAATTAGAAGCTCTTGATAGTGAAGACAGCCATTCAAATAACCTTGAACAGAATGATTTCAAGTTTTAAAGGCTATAATAAAGGACAAGCTTGTCCTAGTTCTATCAGCATAAATCACCCTAAGCTTTCTAACAATTTAGTTTCCTTTAAGCAATTTACTTAATTTGGATACTATGTTGTACTTTATCAAGATGCCTGTTTAAAAAATGTCTTATAAATCACATAAATCAATTTTGAAAGTGCTTCTAAAAAACCTGCAAATAACAACAAGCTTATTTTAAAATGACAAGTATGGATCAGATTGACAGAATACCATCTCTATTTTAATAGTTTAACTGTATTGGAACTTGTTACAGCTTTAATTCAGTTGGAAATGTAGTTATGCCACATCAAGCAATCATTTTTCCTTCTTTGCAAGTTTAATGTGCAACTCAGCCTTAATTTAACTATTATTTGAAATGGAAAACTGATTGGATTGTTCTTTAGGTCATTTAGGGACATTTAAAGTATACAACATTTTCAGGAAATAATGAACATTTTACCTTTAAAATAACAAGTGCAAAAATGAGTATGCTATGAGATTTCATTAGGAAATTCTCACCAAGTCCCCTTCGTTTGCACCAGTATGGTCAGGTGCCCATAGTAAAACAAATTTTACTGACATCTCTTTTGGTATGGTCAAGAACTACACCTTCAATAAATAGGTTTTCCAGTTGCATTCAAATATTTTTACCAGGAGTACACTAGATGCTCAGTATTGCCAGATTTTAGAAAATATGGCCCTTATCCCCATCTGAAGTCTTTGTCTTTAAGGATTTTTTTAATCTTATTAAGTAGAAATCACTTAGATACATTTCATAGAGCTCAGTTCCTGATGACATAGGACCACAAGTGTATGATAATGTTACCATCTCTATGAATCATGAAACGTCAGAGAATGTATAGACATGAAGGAGCCAGCACAGTGCAAAGAGTAATTTATGGAAATGAGGAAACAGAGCCAGACCTTGAAGAATGGGTGGGATTTCTATTCTGGAGAGGAGGAAGAAAGAGGATCTTGCTCAGATATCGAGCTTCATGCATGCAGACACAAAATCTACAATTTGTTTCACTGATAAATCTACCTTCAGTGTTGGTGCTATAATTGGTATTTCTTAGAGTTGCTGAACTAATGAAAAAAGTTTGTCATCTTTCAGTACTTAAATTTCCACTTGAAGGTAATTGAAGATTGAAGAAATTCATTTTTACTATTTGCATTTTTTAATTTTAGCTTCAAAGCAGGAAATAAATGCTAAACAAAGGGTTGTTGCAAAATATAAAACCATTTCCAATTGTGCTCTTCATAGTACTTAGCCATGTTTTGGATTAATTATAAGTAATTTATAAATATCATAATGCAGCAATAAATGTCTTTCTTGGCAAGTTTCACTGCCTGGGTAAGGCCAAAGCTGCCATACTCACTTCTGCTTAAAATAGCCCTGGCACCAGTTGTCCAAATTACTCTTTCCATCGTAAATCTTATTTCATGTACTTTTAGGGGGTGGAACTGAGGAGTCACGTACAAACAACATTTCTTTCTAGTGGTGTGATTGTGATTTATTTTTACCATAGTTTTATCCAGTTTGTATCATGTTTACTTTGAAATTAACATGTATTACATTAATAATAGGAAGAAGATAATGTTATTTTCTCTCTCTTTTTCTAAAAAAGGATCATATATCTGATACTTCAGGAATAATTCCACTTACGCAAGTGGAGAGTTAATTCTTGTGAAAACTTCAATTACCTATATTCAATGAGTGAAATTATTCCAACACTATTCAGAGGAAACATAGCCCTGACCTGTGTGCCTTGGCTGGGCACTGTCCCGCAAACTGAAAGGTTGCCGGTTGATTCCCAGTCCCAGCACATGTTTGGGTTGCAGGTGTGGTTCCGGGACTGGGAGCATATGAGAGGCAACTGACCTGTGTTTCTCTGTCACATCAGTGTTTTTCTTCCTCTCTTTCTCCCTCCCTTCCCCACTCTCTAAAAAAAGTAATGAATCTTTAATTAAAGAAAAAGAAAGATAATGCCTGCCACCGCGCCTCACCCCCAAACATACATACACACACCTTTCCTTACTCTTCCCAGCCACCTTCCCCATTGCTTTTAGAATTATCTTTCTAAAATATACGACCCCAATATATCTGTGCACAAACTCCTTGCCCTTCACAATATGGTTCCAGCTAATCTTCATGTCCCCTCCCCACTTACTCATCACCACCCACCAGAATCATCCTTTTATATTATTTTCTCCCACTGCTGCATAAGACTTGTCTCTGATCCTACACTTTATCCTGAATTGCCATGTTTCTGGGTCTTTGGTCCTGTGGGTTTCTCTACCTGGAATTCCTTTTTTACCTTTCCACCAGTAAGATGCCTAGTCATCTCGAGGGCCCTCAGATGTCAATTTCATAATGAACCCATCTTTATTCTGACAGTACAACATTGGTTGATTCTTTCTCTGAGTTCCCTAGACCTGTATTCAGATACCTGGTATGTCCCTTACCATGATTTGCACGTTTCTCTACTCAAGTCAGCCTCTAGAGGGCAAGGACCTCCCATGTTAATTTGCTCAGTATGAACTTGACCATACTTTTTTTTTTTTTTTGTGACCATACTTAATTAAAGAGTTACTGAAAGATTCTCTACGTGTTTTAGAAGTGCAATATAATATCTTCTTGTGTTGGCCTATGTTAATAGTTGGTGCTTAAGAAATAGTTGATGAATGAATATTGAATGAATGGCCTAGGGTTTTGATATTAAACACAGAATCCCTAGGTTAGACATTTGATGTTAATGCAATTTTTTAAATGATGCCTTTTTGGTTTTTGTTACAAAACCTTTAGTGACCCTTTGTCCTGCATTGCAGAAAATCAACAGCTGTTGCTCTGTAATGTAGTAAAAAGAATAGATGGTTAAAGCCCCAACATTTGCTAAAGTCCTGAAATTCAACCTTATCGCCATTGCTGAATTTTTAGAAAGGTATTGATTATAGCCTAGTTATAAATTTGTCAAAAAGGTTGTAACACAGCATTCCTCTGGGTCAGACTGGGCAGATCTTTATAACATATATTGCTTTCTCATTAGTATAACAACACCTATATTTATAGTGAGATTACTAACTGAAATTGAAACAATAAACCATCAGATATTTGCAAAGAGAACCAAGTGAATGATATAATTGTCAGATAAAGCACAAAATGGAGACAATTAGTGGCCATCAGCATCCTCTTGTCTTTATCTGTCTACTCAGTGCATATTTAGGAATGCTTCAAGGGCTTCAGAAGGGCCTGCAAGTAAAAAGGAGGAAGTCATTGGTGGTATCCATCAGCCGGCAGGGACGAGAGT